TATACATGTCTTCTTTTCTTTTCTTTGTCTAATTTATTTTTGATCTTTATAGTATCTATGGCCAAAAACACTTTTTTCCTCTGTCTATCAAATTTATTTCACATTTTCAATAGTTCAATGAATTCTTTTTCTTCCGTTTTAATCAAAGTATCTATGATTTCAATCTTTTCATTAAATATATTGTCTTTATCTACTTCTTCATTGTAATTTCTAATCCAATTATTTTAACTTTGATGTTATTTAATGTCTCATAAGGTTTATTTATACCCTTTTTCATTCCTTTTTTTTGATCATTCTACTGTTCTCTCCTTCTAAATATATTAAACATTCATTATTATCTTTTTTCTTATTTATATTCCTTTCACAACCTTTGCATTTGATCAAATTTGGTGAAGTATTCCTATCTATTTCTTTTTCTTTTACCACCCAAATGTATTCTTTTAAAATTTTTACTTTTTGATTGTTTTTTATCCTGTCCAAAAACTGGCAAACCTGTGCTATTATTCTAAGTTATTATTTCATTTTCTTTTGTTTTATATTTTCATCAAAATAATTCATATGAATCATTCTTTTCATTATATTTTCAAAATATTTATTTTAATTTTCCTTATATTTGAATTACTTCTTGTTTAATTTGTTTAAACCACTTCAGTATACTCTCTTTTATATTTTCCCTTTTCTTTGCATAAATGTTTCCATTTCATCAATGTTAGCCCATTGGCTTCTAAAAGGTCTTCTAAATATAAAACATTATTCTCTTTTCAAGAATGTACTCTTCTTCTTTTTCATTAATCAGATCTATAATCTCTGTTCTCCCTCCTTTTATAATGTGATTTGTATTTTATCTCTTATTTCATGATTGCACAGGTAAATATCTTCTTCATTTAAAATTTTTATTGCCATCTTAATCCAATTATTTTTATCTTTTCCTATATTATAATTATATTCTTCTAAACATTTTGCAGTCCAAATAATTTTTTGCTCTTGTGCCATTTTAATTGCAAAAATTTTCTTTAATTTCTCATTCCCATTCACTTGGTATAATATATTTTTACATAACATTACTAATTGATGATCATAAATTGTTTTAACTTCTTTCATAAAGTGCACTGTTTTTGCTAAACCTTCTCTTTTTTTAATAATAGCACTAATTCTCATCATCATTTTTGTGCATTCTTGTTTACTAAGTACAATCACTGCTAATTGATACCCTATCCTTGGAATTATTACCATATTCCAGACCGCAATTATTTGTTTTCCTTTTTTTGAGTCTCCATAATTATACTGTATTATTTACTTGTATGTCATTTAATATATAAATAAATCTGTAATATTTTTTATATTTTTCTGTAATATTATATCCCAAATTATTTGTTAATAATGGCCACAATATATATACCATACATAGGATGGGAGAAATAATCTCACTTTGATCAATTCTGATATTTATATTGTTCAGATCTGTACTCTGTTATTACTTGATTTTTTCTGTTTAAAAATAAATTAATTATAAATGTAATAAATCATTCAACATACATAAGTCATACTTAGATCTTGTAATAGGATCCATAGTTCTTAATTCATCTAAAATATGAATTGTTTCAAATGTGATTTCAAAGGTAAACCAGTAAAAAATAGGTTCTGGTTCTTCTCTCTACAGAGATAGTCATATAGGTGGCATGAGTGAATTTTTGTTTGTAGGTGTAAGTAATACATATATAAAATAGAATTACAATTATAACATGAATGAGATAAAATTACAACCAGAAACCAATTACTTTTACAAATGAATTATTGCCCATTCTTTCTGCCTGGAATATATTAAAAATTGTTACCAACATTGTTCAATCTATTTTTAGGATTTATTTCAGGCAACTCAATTTGTAAAACATTTTCTTCACAATCCTTCTCTTGTTTTTGCTATCCTTTCACTAATATCAGTGATTAGTTATTCTCTAAAATATCTTAATAATATTTTTATTTAATAAATACAAAATAAAGCTTTCCATATTGTATTATAGGTCTTCCATTTCTTCTTGCAAAGATTCTTCTTCCTGTGAAGATGACACATAATCATCAAATAAATTTTCTCTCTTTTCAATTTTTTGCTAATAAAATAAATTCAGTTAATAAATATTCACATGATTACAAATTTCAAATTTTGGAAACTTACATAATTTCAATTACCTCTTTTCTTGTATTCACCAAGTTCAAATTACAATGAAATAGAGAATATTATTGCCTCTTTTCATTTACTAGGAATTACATTAAGTTTAATACATTGATATGTAAAGATATATATACAATTTTCTAATACTTTGAAGTTTTATTACAGTATTTAATAGGATATTTGAGATGATTCAACTGCTTTTTTACTAGGTAATTGTTCTATAGTTTTCATCCATTTATCAATCCCTACCATTCAAATTGTAAGTATCTTTTGTATACAACCTATTTTTATTTTTAAAAAATTTATTTTATTTGTTGGTTAAAATTAAATTATTATATATTATGAAATAACAATAATAATAAAAAAATTCACATTGTTTATTAAAATTTCATTTTCTGTTCTAATTACTTCGCCATATTCTTTGCATAAGTTCAAGATAGTTGAAAGACTTCATTTAGAAACAGCACTTTCAGTAAATTTGATTGGCAAGTTTACATTATTTGGTAAAACCATTAAAATTTTATATATTTAAAATACATTGCTGGGATTTTTCCAGCCAGTTATATTATATACTATTGCAATTCCTTCTGGAGAGGTATCTGAATAATTCACAGGAACTGTTGTATATAATACTTTTACTTACAATTTTTTGAAAAGATGATGCAAGCAGATATTATTATTAATATAATCAATTTTGACTTCATCAAGTACAAGCTTTTCAGAAATATCTAAAAAGTGGACTATGATTAATATGTAAAGATTTAATTTATATTGTTATATCATATATAATTTTCACCTGCCAATCATTATTTTTGCTTTTATTCATTGCATCTGCTATAATTTGAAAATGAAGAGTAATTTCTCATTTTCGACTTGTACTGTATATAAAATCTTATCTATTTTATATAATATTAATGGCTTGATACCTATTTCATCAATTATGAAATTAAATCATTTTTCTTTGATTATTTTTATAATTATCACAAATCACAATGCTCTTAATATGCTTTTAAATATATATCTTCAAATCAATTTCTTTTTTCCTTTTTTTAGATTATTTTTTGGTTTTTCTAACAAAAAGTAGATGTATGAAAGAATCAATATAATCAGTGGAAAATATATTCATAAATATCTAATTTATAATTGGAGATAATCTATTAATGATTGCTGTTAAATTATTGTTTACATTAATTAATACATCTTTATGATATCTATGGTTTAATTTGTTGTATTCATCAACTTCATATTCTTCAAATGATAATAAACATATTCTCTTATATGAATACCAATCAATATAAAGTATGTTGAAATTCTCCTTCTTTATTTGTTTCCTTAGAATTTATATGATATTTTTAGAGGAATTTTGATAGGCACTTCATATATTTTATAAAGAGTGTCCATTATTGCCAATGAAGTCTTTTCCTTCATTGCATTGTCTTCTGTTTTAGTCCATCTAGTCCATCTTGCTTTACACCTGATTGCTTGCAATATCATTGAACTCAATTTGATAGTGTTTAAATAATTCATAGAGCACTAGATTTGGTAAGTTAAATACTTTTAATAATTATAAGCAAGTTTATAAGATTCTTTCTATAAACTTTACTATTCATTCTTGTTTAATTAATTACATCATTTACATTATTTTTGAATTTTTTAAAAAATTTCTGTATTCTTCTAGCATGAATTATTCCATTACTTTATACATCTTCTCATTGGTTGAATAAATTGAATGTAAGATCATTTTACAATTGATTTCACTACATTCTAAAGTATAATGAATAATTTATATATTCTGATGATAACATATTAAAATAATCTCTTTGGATAGAATTTTTTTTCATTTAGTTAATCTCCACCAGTATTTTCTTAACAAATTTATACTAATCTTTTAAGAGCTTTGTCAAATCAACCTTTCTATGTAAATTAACTGACCAAACATATTATAACAAATTTTGTAAGTTATCTTACATAATTTTCCTGCTATAGGAAAAAGTTGTGAAAAAGTTAATAAATTTTAAATTGCATAATACAATTTCTTATTAATTTCTATTTTATTCCTAAACTAATATTTTGCCTAACAAAAATATGTACAAATGATGATTAAAATAGTACTGATGTTGAAGTTAAAATTTAGATAGAAAATAAATAAAATAAATAAGTAAATAAAAAAATTTTAGTAAGATACTTTAAATAAAGTAAACATATATCAAGTTTACCATTTGAATCTTTAAAGATTTTTGAGTTTAAAATTGATAAGATTTACTCTTCTTTCAACTTGGGCAAATAGCAAAATTATTTTGCCACTTTTCAAAATGAAAAAATTATTTAAGTTTAATATAATAAAAATAAAAATCTAGGCAAAATTGTTAATTTATAAAAAAATTAATTCAAATCTAATATTTAATACTATTTCCATTTGCTGCAATAGCTATAGACATTAATTTAAAATATTCTGAGAGATTATCATTCCATGTATTCTTAAGAGTTTCAATATTAGATTAACTTAATTATCCTATTACTACAGCTGATATTTGATCAACCCAATATCAACAATGACTTTTTCAATAACTGATGACAGATATTCTGTGGTATGTGAATTTTCTGATTAGTTGATACAAGAATTTGATAATTGAATTCTAGTACAATTTCTATAAATTCATGATAAATGTCATTTGGCCATTCAGTTATAAAGTAGTACAGTCACTTAATGTCATTATTCCTTGATTCAGTGAATGTGCTTTGTTATTTATGGCATAGTTCTACAAGAATCTTCAGAATCAATAGATAATGGTATGTTAAATTAACTTCAATATCCTCATCAGCTGTATGGTGGTGAAGTATAATGACAAATTATCATTTTCATCTCTATCCAAAGATTTTTAATTAAAACTTTATGCTGGCCAATTAAGTATCACAATTTCAGCATTTTTTTGCTCAGCTATTGCAGCTTTTGAATAATGTGGTGGGGTTTTTTCTAGAAAGTTCCCATCTTTTTTTTTCCTCTCAAATTCTGAATTATTTTTATCAAATGACTTTTTTTTACCAGATTTTCTGAAGTCTTAATATTTATTAGTAATTAATATCTACAATTATTGTTTATAAAAAAATCTGTACTTCCAGATGCTGCTCCATAAAAGTTTTTCAGTCAGTAATATGGCCTTGTGGCAACAATGTGTCAGCAGTCTTTTTTACTATTTTTGTAATTACTGGAATTTCTCACCATCTATCTAATTTAAAGGTTGAGTTGTAGTACCAAGCTGATTTTATGCTGCCAGCTGCTGTAATAACATTTGTAGCATCTTGGCCCTATAAAAATTATTTGGAAAAATGATCACATTTCTGAGTTTCTTCATAATAAAAACTAGAAAAATGATCATTTATCAGAGTTTTTTCCAGAATTTTTTTCATAGGGTGGTATCAATGGTAGTCAGACATCATCTACTATTGCAAATTATTCACTATATTATCACCTTAATCTTTACTCTGGTTGTGATTCTTGTCCTTATTATTACAAAATTTTTCATGAGATTGTGTATGAGATATAATATTTACTGTATAAAGAATGGCATATAAAGATGACAATAACTTTAGTTTTGAACAAAGAAAATTTAAAATATGTGTAAATCAAATATTTAGTTCTGGAAATGTAATATTTATAATTATTAAAGCAAGAAATGTTGTTTTTATTTCTGCATTAGTTATATCAAATGAATTTATTTCAAAATTCCAGTGTTTTCTTTTTTTCGTTTATTACTTCATATTCTAAAGTAATAATGATTCCATTATATCTTATTAAAGAAATGGAAATAAATCCTGCTTTTTCAACTATTTTAATTTTGATGTATGTAATGAATTTTAATTAAAATTATAATGAGATGAACATACTCCTAAAGTATGCCTTTCCAGGTCTGCAAACATTTTTTCATCTGGTATCAGTATAATAATAAAAAAAAATATCATTATGTAATTATATAAGTTGCAATGATCTAATTGGTAAAAATGCAATTGATATAATCATAAGGAAACTTCTTTCTTTGTTATTAAAATACCAAGGAATTTCCAACTAAATAAATTGACACAAAGGATCATATTAAGATATATAATATTTGTTTGATAATTAATTTAGTAGGAAATTTTGGATTTTTAATTGTTTGTGAAATTGATAAATTTGAGAAAATAGGATCAATGTGAATTTCTCAGCTACTTATACTCAAATTTGAACAATATTTTAGCAATAAGGCTTTGTTGTCAAGTAACACCAGATGAAACTTTGCCACATATAATAAAAAGCCATGATCACTGCCACAAAAATTGGTGCAAGCACAATATTTTCTTATTATTACTGTACAGCCACAATTTTATCAAACTTAATTTTGATCAGAATAAAAAAAAAAAATTTAATTCAAGTTTTTTAATATCAGTAGTATGTATACTGGATAATCTTGATCTATAAATTTTAATTTTAATGAATCGAATTCATTATAAATTAAAGATATGGATTCCTTATGAAAACTTAACGTTAATTCCGTTTATCTTTTACTTCCTTATTTATCGTCGCACATGTCACACATGAGGAAGCTATTTTTAGAAATACTAACTTTTGCGATTTTATAATCAAAATTCAAATAATTGAAAAAATCACCGATAAATTTATTATATTTTTGTAATATTAACATTTATAAATACCTGCATTTTTATCCTTTGGAAATTTGGCACTTTGAACATTATTAATAAATCCTATTGACTTGCATCTTTTTCAGACGAGGTAGCACAAGATCCAAATATAACATTGTAAAAAGAAAATAGCTTATTGCCGTAGTTATGGAATCTATCATTCTCACCTAATCAAACAAAAAAAATGAAATATCAGATAACGCAAATTTCAGACATTTACTAATAGTTACGATGATGTGAATGTGCTTATAAGTTGAAATTTGAGAGAAATACAGATTAAATTTCCTTGTAATATGAGAAACTCTATACAGTACCTTCAAGATCTTCCTATAAGAAGCTCGCTGTTTAGTAATTTTAATTCTTTGTTTTCTTCAACATGGAGTTAGATCTTTGGGGCGCCAATACCATTAAATTATTTTAATTGTTTTCGTAAATAACCTCATTAAATTGCCCACCAATATCTTCAGGAGTAAAAAAGTGTTCTTAGTATTTCCTCACAATTTAGACAATACAATGGCGTATGTGGAAAAAGCTCTTGAAAAAAAATTTGTTGTAAATATATTTATTAATATTCATTTTATGTCATACGTTATTACATCAATAAAGTATAATATTACTATGGAAAAATATAAATCTAGTATTTATCTAAAATACATATTTTATTTAATAAAGCTAATAAAGTTTAATTTGGTAATCTACCAAAACATAAATTTGCTAATAATTTACCAAACTCAGACAATCTAATAACCAATTGATGTTCTCACCTATTGAACTATAATCAACTCCTAAAGTGGATACGAAGCACTACTCTTCGCCATATTATATACTATAAATAATAAATAATATAATAAATACTTTTAAATAATAATAATTTTGTGTTAGTCTAAATTGATGGTTTAACCTCATCAAGGTGTAGAAGATTTATTAGATTTTTTTTCCAAACGTTGTTTAATTAATACTCCTGCTATACCTCCTAATACTCCAATGATCGCGGTTGCAATTGGTACAGTAATCTCTATAACTTTTTCATTTTTGCAATTATCAATTGCTAAATTTTTTTCCCTTTCACAGTCAGGAGGATCAACATATTTAGAATAGCAAATTTCTCCACTGAAACTGGGGTTAATGCAATTAATGTTAGTGAAGTCATCAACCATAGCTTGTATACGGAATAGGTGTTCCCTCAAAGAAGTAACATTAACACCGACATATTTAGCAACATTTAATTCGTTACTAGTAAATGTGCGTGTATGAAAGCCACCTAACCCATTTTGAGATACTAATTGAATCAAAAGGGTTGAGGCGCCACAAGGCATCCTTTAAATCAAAGTTTATATTAGCATTAGAATATGAGAAACTAAAGAAATAAAAGTTATACTTACTCGGTCAGAGTAAAAGTTATGTTTCCACTACTGTACGGGTAGAAAGTATCATCAAGATTCCAATTACCATCTGTCCTCAGTTTGTTAGTAATTTGCTGGCATATTGCATCCAGATGGTAAGAAAGAAAAACAGGAAGAAAGAAAGCGAGAAATAACGTTTTATGAATTTTACTTGTAATCATAATTTGCTTTTAAAGAGTGAAGCTATTTTTTTTTGTCATTTATACAAAAAAATTTTAGAGTCATGAGTTATGTTGATCAATAAAAATTTTCTCAAAATTTTACAATTTGACCATCAAATGTATCAAATGTTCAAATATGGTATCTCATGAATGAATCATTATATCATCCGAACTGCGTAATATTATTGGAAATGAAAATCCATGTTTGATGAACGAAGATCATCATATGCACAAACAATTAAATACCTTACGCTAATAATTTTTTGGCATACACATAATTTATTTTTTTAATAAAAAATTTACATATATAAATAAATTAATAGAAAAGAACTGTCGATCTGTCCTTACTTGGATAAGTGATTAGTAATTTTTTTTTCATTATAAGCTTTTTTTTTGTATTGTTTTTTTTTCGATTGTTGTTCTTTGAGTTAAGCTGGTGATCTTTCAAATTTTTTTATTTTATTTTTAATTATTTTTATAAAGAACGAAAAAGAAAAAAAAAATAATATTTCATGCATGAATTAGCAGAAATTCCTGATGTCATAAACAAATGGTAATCGGTAATCCGGGAGCGTATAACTAGACTAACTTTAGTATCTTAACTATAATCCGAACATTAGGCCCTGAATTCAAAACTGAAGGATCTTCATTAAGCCAAATTGTACAGCAGCAGTAACATTAATGTTTTTATAATAAGAATTATAAGTTTCTTTGATATTATATTTATTATATTAATGCTTTAATAATCCTGACATTATCTATTCGATAAAGTATTCGATAAAGTATAAAAATAGTATAGAAAATGAGTTTTATAGATGTTTAAAATTTATTATTTGGGATTCCAATCGCTAATATGAGGCGGAGGAATAAGTTTAAAGTCATATGATTGCCGTAGTAATCCCAACATACGATTACTAAGTAACTAATATTGATTGAGTATGATTGATTCGATTAAATTCGTCAGTCTTTATACAAAATACTGCTATAAATAAAGTTGGTATTCTTATATTCCGGGATTTTACGTAATTATATTCATCAAATCGTGGAAAAATTATATTGAAGTGACGTAAGATTATTAATGATTTAGATGATTTACTGGCAAATTCGTATAATATTATTAATACATGAATGCATTTGCTACCTTCCAAAAGTTTAAGATTACCATTTACATATTTGCATGATTCTAACAGAAGTTGTGATAACGTCTTGCTTTTTGAATTCAATCAAACTAATTTAATCTAAGACGGGTGAAATTTAGGAAAAAGATTTTAAATTAGGATAATATTTCTACTTATAATGACAATAATAATCTAATTGCTTTTTAAAAACATAATTTTCATTTAATAAGCATTATGAGTTTTTGTTTACTTGTATCATTCTATATAATTCAAATTTTCTTTATTAAAAGAGTAGGTCGCCGAATTATTGAATTATTTGATTATTACTATTATTACTAAACATTTTGTGATAACAAATAATTAATTTCGGAAAATGTCATTAAATGTCCCGTAAACTCTTATAATATTTGAAAAATTTCTCGAAATATGATCGTTCAGTGTATTTTGATGATATTCGGAACATTTTTTTTCGTATATTATATATTCTGAAAATATCTTGAAAATATGCTCAAAAGTCAAACTGTTATATTCTTCGGGCATCGTAACAATACAAGTTCGTATGTTTATAAAATAAGAACGTAAATGTCAAACATGATCATAATAATAGAAAATAACTACACTTAACCGGGGAAAATTAACCGGTGGGCAGAAATCGAAATCCGCAGAATTACATAATTCCAAGTCAAACCATTACCAGATTTCACAAATTTTAAAGAACTCGGAAATATTTGGTAAAGCTCAAATTAAGATAAAATTATACCACCATTCTCGGAATATTACTCCAAAATTAGCGTATAATTTTTATTTCATATCAAGCTTTACCGAATATTTCCGAGTACATTGAAATTTGTTACAGCAAAATTCAAAACATACGGGACACTTGAGAAATTTGATTGTCGGGTTGTCGGGTAGCCGGGTTACTCGGCAGTAGGTTATTTATTAGAAAAGTATAATAACACGTGACATGAGTATAATAAGATTATATAATCGTATTATATAAATAAATATAACCTCTTCTTAAGTAAAAATAGAATTAAAATTAAAATTATATAAATAAATATAGTATAATAGTATATAACATGTAACAATAAATTACTTTACCTACAGCCGAGTAACCCGGCTACCCGACAACCCGACAATCAAATTTCTCAAGTGTGTGTCCCGTGTATTTTGAATTTTGCTGTAAGTGTCCCAACTTTTTTGAAATCAGCTGTAATATTAATTCCTTACCGGTTAATTTTCCCCCCGGTTAAGATTAACGGGCGTCCTTAACGTACAGACGTATAGTGGGGGTATTAACGAACGAACGAACTGGCCAAAGTTTAGGAGTTATGCACTTGCACGTGATAGCGTTAACGTTAACTCCGGTCAATTCGTATCTTACACTCTCACTGTACATTAAAACCCGAAGATTAACAACTCCCATAAAAATAATAGTAACGCACTTGAGACTTAAATCAATTTTAAAAAAGTTTTTTTTTCCAAGTATTTTTAATATACAATTTATCATGCAATTTTTCGTAATTTTAATAAAGTCTAATCGTGACTCATAATTTTTAAAGTTTCATAATTCTGACCAGAATTAATAATTCGACCAGAATTAAATTTTTACTGATTATCAAAAATATTGATTTCTGCGGTTATCGGTACACATAATTTCAAAATGTTGATCATGCTATTTATAAAGCTTCATTTACGCATGTTGTACTCATAATCCTTTCTTACATTTGAATTGTTTCAAAAAATAATTTTTTTTTTTTTAAACTAGATATGTATCGTCTATTAAAAACACTTAAATTTAAAGCCGACGATGTTATTATTCATGTTGGAGAAGAACCAGATATTAAAGAATTTCGTTCATATTCTAAAACTTTATGCAATAAATCCGATTATTTTAAAAAAAGACTTTCTGACGAGAATATCGAGAAAGAAGATGGATATTACGTAATTAAGATACCAAATATTAATTCTCAAATTTTTGAAATTATTATCAAGTAATTATGTTCTAATGATTTTTTTTATTTGATAATTTAAAATATTATTTATATTTTTAATCTATTTATGTAAATATAAACGCTGTATATAATAATTATAGGAACTTAAACGGAACTGATGACTTAAATAGAAAGACCGGAGTTGAAATTTTAAATATTATAATTACTTCTGATGATTTAAAATTATATCAATTAGCTAAACAAGCCGAAGAATTCTTTATTAAGAATCGTCAATGTCAATTATTACGAAATGATCCAGTCGGAATTCTAAAATTAGTTCTTCATCATAAAATTCTTAGTAAGATACAAGAATTTTGTTTGGAAACAATCTGTTCTGAACCTGAAATTTTATTTAACTCTGATGATTTTATTGATTTACCCGCTCCTATATTAGAAATTATTTTGAGAAGAAATGATTTAAAATTAATTGAAATTAAAATTTGGGAAAATTTAATTAAATGGGGAAAAGCGCAAGAAGCGCAAGAAAAAACTCTTGATGAGGATAATCAAGAAAAACTTAAAAGATTTACACCATTAATTAGATTTTATGATATTTCTTCTGAAGATTATTTTAACAAAGTCAAACCTATTATACCAAAAGAATTACAAGAAGAAATTTTAAAATTTCATATGATTCCTGAATATAAACCAACATTGGTTAATTTTTTACCGAGACGTATTTATTCTTTTAATTCTGCTTTAATTAATCAAAATCATTTTGCACTTTTTGCAAATTGGATTGATAGAAAACATAAATATTGTAATTTTGTACTTTTATATAGAGCTAGTAGAGATGGTAAAACAGCAACAGCATTTCATAATAAATGTGATAATAAGGGAGCTACTATAGTTGTAGTAAAAATCAAAAATTCAGAACAAATAGCTGGGGGATATAATCCATTTTCTTGGGAATCAAGTGGTAAAAATAAGTCTACAAAAAATAGTTTTATATTTTCATTTAAAGATAAAAACAACTTCCAAAGTGCAAATGTAGCTAATAGTAAAGGAGATCAATATTCTGTAAGATGTCGTTCGCATTGTGGACCATATTTTGGTTATCGTGATTTATATGTAAATCATAATGAAAATGACAAGAATCCTGATATTTGGAATAGTTGGTATGAAAGATCTTATCCTACACTTAATTTACCAAATACTTTTGTTGTAGATGATTATGAAGTTTTTCAAGTAATTAAAAAATGACCTGATTAATTGTGTGTAGGACATTTATTATGCATATGGGTAGGGTTTATAAACATTATTATTGTACGCTATTGTATTTATAAATAAAAAAATATAAACACTTTTTTTGTTTTTTAATAACTATGTAATTGCTAAAAAAAAAATTATAAAGTAGTTCACTTTTTAAATAAATAAATAAAATAAATCGTTGTTCACGCCGAAATTATAATATTACCAATAGTTTTAAGAAAGCGAAGATACGATAATACTCGAAATTTCACGGTAAGGCCATAATGTATTGTACAGGATCCTTATGAAATGCTGAAAATGATAATATTATTATTCAGTAACTTCTTTTATAAGAATTTTTTTTTTTAAAAAAAAGCAATTTTTAACTCGTAATTTATAATTCATCATACTTTAACATATTTTGAAAATAAATCGTCGTTTAACAATAAAATCTTTGGTTTTAATTTTTATGAAAAAACTGTAATTTAGGATCTCGATATCATTGTATAATTTCAAAATATCAATAGTTTTTAAAAAAAATGTGATGAAACCAATTAGGTCATATTAGATATAATAAATAATTCATTACTTCTAATATACAAGTTGTAATAATAAATAAAAAAAATATACAATTTATAAGAATAAATAATTAACTACATTATACTACACTCCCAAATTATAATTTATCCTCTTTAACATGAGTTTTGGTTTAAAGGTTTTTTTATGACTTGAAAAACTTCATAATCATCTATATTAAATCTTCCTGATGGCATACCAACAAGGTAAGGATAAGAATATTGACCACATTTCATAACTGGATTACTATACCAAATACCACTATTTACAAATAAATCATTATAACCAAATAATGGACCACAATATGAATTACAAACTATAGAATATGTACCACCGTTACTATAACTTACATTTGCAGTTTGAACGTTCATTCTATCTGTTAATAAAAATATAAAACTATCTTTTGTTGACTTATAACTACCACTTGAATCCCATTCAAGTGGATTGTATCCTCCAACTATTTGTTCTGAATCCTTAATTTTTACAACGGTTATAGTGGCTCTCTTATTGTCACATTTTTCATGAAATGCTGCATTGGTATTTCCATCTCTGCTAGCTCTATATAAAAGAATAAATTTATAAGGAACTTTAGTATCGTTGATATCTTCATCATTTCTATCAATCCAATCAGCAAAAAGTGCGACATGTTTTCGATTAATTAGAACAGAATCAATGGAACGTCTTGGTAAAAGGTTAAGTGGTGGTTTCCATCCAGGAACAAGATGAAATTTTAAAATTTCATCTCGTAATTCTTTAGATAAGACTTCTTCATATGGTTTAACCCTATTTATGTAATCTTCAGAAGATATTTCATAAAATCTAATTAAAGGAATAAAATTATGAAGGATACTCTCAAAAATTTTAAATTCTTCTTGATCCCATTTAGAGACGTCTTTATTATTAAGTTCTTGTTCTTGTGCTAATCCCCATTTAATTAAACCATTCCAAATTTCAATTTCATCTAAATCTAAGTCATCTTGTTTTAAAAGAAATTCCAATAAAGGTGCTTCTAAACTGATAAATTTATCGGAATTGATTATCATATCAACTTTTTCAAGACAAAAAATTAATAAATAACTGAATAATCCATTTTGATAAACTCTTTGCAAAATTTCTACAATATTCTGTTGTAAAAACTCATACTGATTTTTGATTAAATGTTTTTGAATACATGAGATTAATTTTTGAATGTTCAGTTCATCAACTGCCATTAAAAGTTCTAATATTTTAGGACCTTGTACGTCCGTAAAATCTACTTTCCCACAATAGATAAATCTAAAAAAAAAAAAAGATTACAAATAAATTTGCGTCACATTTAATAATAATATTTTACATTTATTACCTTAAAATAATTTCAAATAATTCAGAAGAAATATTAGGTTTTTTAAGAATAAATTTTCCATCCTTTTTCTCGACCCAATCATTATAAAATGCTGCACAAAAGTATTGAGATCTCGTACACAGAATAAGAGAATGTGCGTGAATTTCTTTTAAATTTTCATTTTCACCAGCAAATATAATGACATCATATGCTATTTCAGTTTCTTCAGTTTCAAGTAATTTTTCATAATCAGTACTAACTTCTTGGGGATATTCAAATGTCATTTTTTTTATTTTATAAATTTTTGGGTAAGATAGAATTAATAAGAATTTCATTTTTCATTAATAAATTTATTAAGTACTAGGTCGTGTGACTATATGTGAAACGTTGATCAAATTTTAACTCCGATGTTTTCCGAAATGAGTCACAGCGTACGAGAATATATTGTATCGCGAATATATTGTATCGCAAACTAAGAAACGGGTCTGAAGAGTCAAATATATATGTTCGCATCAATAGTTTTAGCATTATATTTTAAGTTTTCATTTTTATGAATAATTGGTGTGACGCAATCTTCGATTCGTGAGTCCATACCCTATATAAAAAATTTTTATACGAATATTTCCATTGTTTCTCCGTGGCTTTCGGTGGCTTTCGTAAAAATTCCGTGAAAATGATACTTTCACGGATATCCGTGTTAGATAGATGAAAATTTTCATGATTTAAGGCTATGAAAATGATACATTCACGGAAAAAACATGGAAATATAAACACGGATCAACATTTATTTACAGGGATAGCGTATGTCAGATGTACTCATGTGCATGATGAATTGTTCCTGTATTGTGAACTGTTCTTAATTTCTTGATAAAGTAATAAGAATATGATTGTTTCATAAAATTTAGGTTTTACATTTTGATTCTTTTTTTTTTTTTTTGAAAAATTCAATATAATCAATGATTTGTCAATACATGACGAAACTCTCTCACACCATAATCATTGAGAATAAATTACATTTATTAGAAACTTTCTAATTTATAAGTTGTCGCTCTTTGGGCAGATTTTAACCTAAACGGCCTATCCCAAACTTAACTAATCATATATCCTATCTTTTAACACTAATCCTAACCTAATCCCAATACTAACCTGACGTCAATCAGATAATCCTGACCTAGATCTACCATAACTCCATTTACTTAGTAAACAATTATATAATAGTGTGAAACACAATTTGATGATTTGCGCAGTAATATTTATTATGTAGCACAAAATCTTGTTGGTTGTAACAATCGGAATTCCCTGATCTTTTATTCTCCGCTCACGCTTTGATCAATTAATTTTTTTCCTTATTCTTAAAATTAAAATAATATAATTTATATATTGATTCGGAATATCAGATTAATGGAATAAAAAAATTTAATATTTAATAAGAATTTATTGTTTTTTTTTATTTATCTATATTTGTAATACAGTATATATTAAATTAAATTTTATAAAATAATTTATTATTTGACGACTCAATTTTAGGCGTGCAGTAGAAGTGTCATAGGAGAGGAAGACATAAAAAGTATTTATTATTGAGTATTAATTTTAATAATTTAATTTAAATCATCATATCTAATAAAGAAAATAAAATTAATTCATTTTTTTTCCATTATTTTACCTAATTTGTAATGTTATAATTCTATTCTTTCGTATTTCTTTGTTTAATATATCGATCATACCATGTGGATATGAACGAATACATTTATTTTGTATTATAGTTTAAAAATATCGACTACCAAAAGAGGATTTTCCGAAGGTTGTCTGTACGCTTTTCCTTTAAAATTTATTAAACAAAAACGACAGCTTTTTGAATTCATCAATTAGGGGTATTCATTGTTTCAAAACCAAAATGGGGCTTATTGAAAAAAAAAACACAATTAAAAGCGATCAACGAATCATTGAATCAACGATACCAACCATATGATAATTGCGATGATCATAATAAACCTATTTTTAACGTTAAATCTTTCATTGGCACCAACTTGGCAAGAAAAAACAAAAGAAAGAAAATTTTTCATTAAATGTGATTGGATTCATGTGGATAATATTTTGAAAGAATTTTTTCTATAATTTCTTAATTTAAATGATCCTAATTTGTTATCTCTAAGTGGAAGTCATAATAATAATTACAAAGATGATACTAATATACGTCATTCAGGTCAAAAATTTTATTATAAAATCACTTGAAAATGACCTTTTCTTGCTAAAACAAACTATAATGGCTAAAATCATGATTACAAACAAAATTTTTAAAACATACTTTCTTGTTTTCTTTCTTTTCGTTTCCCTCTTTTACCAAGTTGATGCAGGATGTGAAGAGATCTCTAATAAATTAAAAACGAATGGTAACTGGAATTTTGACGATACATTCTACTCGCTTAACGGCGGAAATATAAATTTTACACTGACCGAGTAAGTACTATAAGATCAAATAAACAAATTCTTTTCATATAATTTTGACGAATTTTGTACATCTTTAATTTCTTACTTTTCAATATAACTTTTATTTATAGTATGCCCTGTGGTGCATCAATTCTTTTTATTCAAGTTATTCCCCAAAATGGAGGATTGAACGAGTTTGACGTACGCAACTTTACAAAAGATGATGTTAAAGTTGAAAAAATCATCGGTAAGGACGTTATTGCTAAGGACCAACATCAATTCCGTATACAAGCTAGGGCTGATAACTTAAATTGCCCTGATCCCCAATTTAAGGGAAATCTTTGCTATATTAATTATTCTGAATCTCCTGACGCTGCAAAAGCAAAAGCTATAAGTATTGGTGTGCCAATTGCAACCGCGATTATTGGATTAATAGGGGGTGTAGGGGGAGTATTACTTAAACAATATTTTGATAATAAGCAAAATAATTCTTCCCAACCTTGATATAATCTAAATATGTTGCCATTAACTAATATAAGACAAATTTTTTTTTTGTTTTTCTCTTATTTTAATTTTATTAGTATTTAATTATTATTATTTAATATTTATAATGGATTATAATGATCTTTATTTCCCAGTTCACTTTATAATAAATTTTGTTCGTTATTAGTAATCTCATTAATAAAACGGCTTTGATATTGGATATAGTGAACTTAAAAATTTTTCTATAGTACATACATATACCAGCAGTCACCTATTGCTTCGCACTGGGATTTCCAAGATGTTTCATAAGAAATTTACATAAAATAATTTACTTGTGACATGCCCAACATCTTCTATATACAGTAAAAAAATTTATTTTTAAGTCTGAACCAAAAAAAAAAAAATAAAATAAAAACTGGTTGAAAAAAAAATTTTAATTTTTCGGCTTAAATTATTCCCACATTTTTTTACATTAAAAATTATAAAATTCCATTAAAATTTCATTAACCTGAACTGGATTAGTCACAAAAATCTTCATGGATTGGCCGACAGCCAATCAAATTATTCTAACCATAATAAATACGTAATAGAACATGTTACAGTTTTTATATTACGTCCGTAAAAAGAATATGATTGTTTTCTTCTGCATTTATTTGTATAATCAATGAGTTAATCAATGAGTTGTCAATTCATGACGAAATTATACTCATTAAGAATAAACTGCGCTCGGGCAAATTTTTAACCTAAACAGCCTAACCCAAACCTGACTAATCATAATCCTAACCTATCTTTTAATTTTGACTGTCGATCAGGTAACCATAACCAATATAATTTAATGATTTTCGCAGTAATATTATTATGTAGCACAAAATCTTGTTGGCTGTAACCGGAATTCCCTAATCTTTTTTTCTCCGCTTATGCTTTGAACAATTAATTTGTTTTTTTATTTCTTTATTCATTTATATTAAATTAAATTATTAAAATTAGTTAATATATTATTTATGTCTTCTCTCCTGTGACACTTACACCGCACGCTTAAATTTCATCAAATAACAAATTATATTAGTAAAATTTAAGTCAAATCATACCCAATAAAGAAAATAAATTAATCACTTAATTTGTAATGTTCTAATTCCATTCTTGTTTTGTTCTCTAATATATCGAGCATAGCATGTGAATATGAATAGAATATATTTATTTTGTACTATAGCTATAGATTAAGAATATTGGCTACCAAAAGAAGACTTTCCGAAGATTGTCGGTACGCTTTTTCCTCTAAAATTTAAACAAAAACGATTACTTTTTGAATTTATCAATTAGGGGTGTTTATTGTTTCAAAACCAAATTGGGCTGCTTGAAGTGTGACTGTGGTCATGGGTGTAGGGTGTAGGTGGAAATTACATAATTAAAAATTTATCGATCAACGATGCTAACCGCTAATATGATAACTGTGATGATCATAATAAAAATGTATTTAACCTGAAATCTTTCATTAGCGAGAAAATCTTTCATTAGATAATTTGGAAAATCACATTATTAAATGACAAAAAAAATTATGTAATCAACAATAATAATTTGACAATTATTATGAGAATATGCGGATAATATTTTGTTATTTCGTAAATAAATTTTTCCAATAAATTCTTTTTTAAATAATCCTAAAGTGGAAGTCATATAATTAATTACAGAGATGATCTAATTACATCTTTCAGATTTCACAACGGATAATATATTTTACTTAACCGGCCAATCAAATTTATTGTGATAAACTAATATCAATTATTTAAATTCTTTATTTATAGAATATATCAACGCTTTAGATTCAACCGGTAGTCCAAAATGAGGGAGGTAACTACTGTACACTCCTTTTTAAAAGATGATTTTAATAATGAAAAATCATTGGTACTACATCAATTTCGTATACAAGCTAAGGTTGATGACTTCAAAAACATTAATTGCCCTGAACCCACCTTCATTTATTTTACTTTATTATTTTCAAATTAACTGTATAAACATATTAATTAATAATATCTAATTATTGTTATTTAGGATTTATAGTAGATATACGAATAAATTCGAGTTGACCATCTTGAATGGTAGATTCAGCAAATATGCTGGATTATTTGAAAAATAGATCTCTATAAAAATATATATTTATTTAACTTATTGATTTAATAATATGAGAAATTATAAAAAGTAAATTATTAGCAAAAAATTTATGAGATAGGAAATGAAGCGATCATTTTTACTGTAAATTAAAAAAGCTTAGTGCCAATACATTTACACTTTTGTAATGTGTCGTATGGGTTACAGAATGATTTCCCGACATCCATTTTCCCAACATAACCTTTTCCCGCTAACAGGACATGACATTATCCTGACATGACATTTTCCCAAAATCAAATTATGAAAAATAATTCAAAATACTTGATTTAACTGCAAAAAATAAATAAATATAAAATGAATTTTTTGATATACAGTTATGAAATGGACGATTATTGGCGATTTTCAAAAGGAATTCTTGTGGAAATCACTAACATGTGATATTAATTTTCATTTAGCAATGTTAAATAATAATATTGTAAATTAGTGAAAACAATTACATAACAATGTTTTTTCTTTGATTAATTTAGTTCCTAGTGATCCTGGCTTCGAGTTGCAACATTGAGACTTTTTGGTAGTAAATTTCCTTTATATTTAAATTCACTGTCATCCTTTTGTTCTCTATCAGGAGAATCAGGTTCTTCATCAACATTATCAGAAACCATTATAGGTCTTTCAAGGAAGGGTGTATACCTACTTTTAGAAGCAAGATCAATTACGTAAGCAACAGATTTAAGAAGTGTAGGATCTGTTGATAAGTTTGTAATGGCATCTGATACATGCAACCAGCCGTGATCTTCTCCCACTACTCCTCTTTCAAAAAACCAAGTCTGGTCATATGTTGATAAGATTCCATACCTTAATTTGTGAAAAAGAATAAATTATCACATCACATAATAAATGTTAATATAAGAAAGAAAAATAGAAATTTACCTTAGCTTGTTAGCACACATGTAGCCATATATTTGGTTTATAGGATGATATACTGAAACATTACTAGAATAAGCATATGGCCCTTCTCGAATTTTCTTTTCCTCATTATAGAGTGTAACAATATTTTGATCTGAAAGTACATTTAAAACCCATTTAGTTTTGGATTCCCAGGGTATAAGTAATTTTTTATTATTATCAACTATGACAAAATCTGGTTCTCCAACAATATTCTTTATGGCACGGCCATCCAAAAAATAAATATGTTGTTCTAGTGGTGTTAATATATCAAAAATATTTGCATCTGTTGCCGACCATATATCTTTTTCACAAGTGATATTACGTGATCTAAATATGGGGTTTTGATATTTTTTATCTGACTCTGGTTGCCATATTTGAACTTTTTGCTTAAAATCCATCCAATTTATAATTTCATCAGGAAAGCGCTGTTCTATTGATATAGTAGTTGAATTTGATTTATTGTATGAATCTAAATAGACCAGATTTGGTACGGTATTTAAAACAATTTCTGGTAAAGAAATCTCTATGAATAACAAAAATATAATTGAGAACTTATTAAGTAATGTGTAAAACAATTACAATTTACTTACTAATTGAATCTTTAAATGCCTCAGCTGAAATAGAACCAGTGTGATCAGAAATTATGGAACCTTCTTTTTCTTTTTCATTCATTCTTTCTTTTTCACTCTTATTAATAATTTTTTTAGATTTTATTTTTGATTTGTTTTTTCCAATAATTTTTTTTTTTATAGAATAACTGTTAAGTTGATTTTCTTTTTCTTCGCCATTTTCTTTTCCAAATTTCTGAAATATACAAGAGATTATGAGTAAGATCCTTTAACATAAGGAAGGTACATAGCCAATTCCTCCTCCAGAATTAGCAGACCTTAATCAAAAGAACCCATAGTAAGTTTTGTGCACGCCTCAGCGGATGAGACACTAGGTACTCATACTGGCTAGACGCTCTTCTTCCCTATACCCGTAGAATAGGTTGTAGCACACTCACTATGCTCGTTAATATTTTACATTCCTAGAAATGTGCAATACTAACCTTTAATTGACATTTCAGATCTAATAATCTTCGGATTTTTCTTGATTTTGGTTCCAAGTTTCTAATTAAAATTTCTAATTCAGTTCCTAACATAGTATGTGATATTTGCTTTGTTGAATTTGGAAATTCTTTAAAGTAAAATTGATCCCATGATTCTATCCCCCACTGAATATATGATCTTTTCCAGTAATTAGCATGTTGAACTTTATGTAAGACTTCTTCTGATAGCATGGTTAAAACTTAAAAATAGAGTATAAAGAACAAGAATATAAAGAACAAGAATAAGAACGTATAAAGAACAAGAAATAAGAACGTATAAAGAACAAGAATAAGAACGAGAATAAATAACAAGAATAGAACAAGAATAAATAATAATAAATCTAAAAAAATGTATGAACCTTAAATATAAAAAATGGCTTGTAAGCAATATTACTTAGACTGACACATTGATGCAATTAACATTTGTATTAATATGTCAGTTCAAGTCATATTGCCTATTTTTACTATTCTAAGCTGAGTAATAAATATTAGATCATAATATAGATTTAAAAATTGACATAGAATTATTAGACCCAAATATCATAATTAAATAATGTAAATTAATAGATCTGTCAAACAAATAGACTTTGAGTGATAAAAAATGCAAATATAATTAGTATTTATTACTAGATACACGGATGCAATTTTATTTTAATGATACATGTTACTAATCTTTTTTATATTTATTGCTATATTTGTCAAAATGATTCAGTAATTATTGATCTTTGTTAAATGTAACAAAAGAAATGACCAACTTTATGTCAGTTTAAATAAAACCATATAGCTTAGTAAATGATATGCATCAGTCTGGCCCATTTGACATATATTATTGATGTGGAACGTGTTTCACGTGTTTCCACGTGATTTTATGTAACACGTTCAAGTGTCATCTGATAATGGCGCGAGACTTAGGATTTGTCTTCTCATTTTTAGTTCTTTATCAAAAAATTTTTTTATGGCATAATCTGAAATATTTTTTTATTCAATGTGCTTTTATGATCCTTTGCACACATTCTTTTATTTTCATTAATATACAGGAAATCGCGATAACCAGAGCCACATATTTCAGTGTTTTCTTCTGAAACATAATTTTTCATATTAAACAAGAAGAAATTCTTGCATTTGAAAGAGAGAGGAATAAAATTTTGAAGGAAAGATTATAAAAATTGTTAGAATTAGGAAAAAATTAATAATAGATTTCCTAGTTGTTAGATATTTCTTTATATTTTTTCTGGCACTTTAATAAAGTTTATACTAATATTAGCAAATAAATATACTTTAATTTCTTCAGCATACAATATAACTTTTTTTATTTTTTATTAAATTGTATTTATCTTATTTTATTTTATTTAACAATTTCGAAATATCTCTAGTCATGCATAAGTATTTTTTATTTTTAAATCACAAAGCGAAGCAAGTTACAGTAAAAATTACAAGGAACCTATAAACTAAAGACTAAAGTAACTATGAAAACTAGTAACCAAAACACGACTGACCATTACGGAATCAGGGTGTTGTCACCTTGGTCGGAAAAGGAAAATGCGCGGGATCAGGATGAACCCTCCCCCAGACATATGCACCAAGGAAAAGAAAAAGAAACCGTGATAAAAAAAAAATAAATGAACTAATTAACAAGATTACAAGTAAAAGAATTATTATAAAAATAATCTATAGTAGAAGGTAAAGAAAAAATAAAATTGTCTCTAATCACCAGCATGTAAGAAATTACTCGATGTCCATCGAATATAAGCTGTTTATGCGGATATTGTGGTTATTGTATGGAGTAGTGAACGTGGTTCTACCAGATCGATTACCGACTCCGATAGGCTGCGTATCAATATGGTGTAAAATATTGCCTGATTGCCTAACTGTATGTCCGAGTGTATCATCATTGACGGCAGTATGTGTACGTTTACGTTTTTTTGGAGTGAGAGGAGCCTGGCGATAATTTTTCTTATGTTTTTTGGTAATGTTGAGGGAAAGTTCCACTGTTTGGTTGCCTCGTGTTCTTTCCAAATGGTAGAATTAATGCATTAATAATACTATGTTTTACCTTCAAGTCTGATGTGTAAATGGAAGGATCTCTTGCCATTCAATTAATTCGAAAGTTTCCTGATTTAAATTCATGACCAAACACGATTATATCAGGAGCAAGAAACGGCAAATATATTCGGTGATCAGTTGGTGCCATTATTTTCACCATGCTGAGGAATAAAAAATTAATTTTTTGAATATGGATTATTTGTATACCTCTAACTAATTATCCCACTATCTAACTTAATTCTTCACCATGTAAAAATATAATTTTTGGAATAAAAACATTGATTTTTGCGAAACATTTTAAAAATTATGTTATTATATTAAAAATATTTAATTATTATTTAATTTTGCGACGTATTAATAAAAAAATTTAATTTTTTAAAATTATTACATATATGATATAATAGAAATATTATTCGTTACAAAGTATTATAAAACTAAAAAAAAAAGATAATAAATGTCGTTATAATGAGTATCAAAATTTCGAACTTTCGAGATTATGATTTGTCAGGATTGCGACGTTGGGCTTGTGTTATAACGGGATTCTGATGGAAAATAAACCTACAAATTTGACACAGAATTATTTGGTAATATCTGGTCCATTTGAACTTTCTAAGATAAGAAAGAAACACTTAACTAAAAAAAATCATTAAATATAATTTGGGTACAATCATACTGTAAATAACAAAGAAAGAAAATTAATAAGCATCCCCGCAGCAAGCCACTTGACTCAAGTAATTAAACAATAATCAAATAATGAATATTATTTTTAATGATTAATAATGACTTGAACAATAGTTGTTTATTTAAATATTAATTTTAATTTTACATATTATCTAATTAGTTAATGTTATGGGAACTAAATCGTAACCATATTATAATAGGGTACGTCAAAGGGGGGTCTTTTAGTCAGTGCTATACGATACTTAATTTACTTTCATATATTTTTACTATAATAAAATTTATTATTCGTTGCATTGTATTTATTTGTTGTAAATACATGGAACGACTTTTCTTGCATATTTATGATAACATCCAATATTTAAAATATTTTCGATGCTTTTTTTATGGTATCGGGACTTTTCGCTGAAGTCCATTTCACCGAAACCTATTTCGCCGAAGCCATTTCACCGAAGGAGTATTTCACTGAAAGGATATTTCGCCGAAAGAACGTCTCGTCGAAATACCATTTCACCGAAACTCCCATTTCTCCGGAGTCATTTTATCGAATGGACATTTCGCCGAATAAACATTCGCAGAAAATTATTTATTCCACTTAGTTATTTTATTGTTTTTATACTAAATACATAAAAGAAATGTTTTTTAGAAAAATTTTGGGATTAGCTGGTTTTTATTAAATTTATCTCGTTGTTGTTTATAATATATTAATCGTCTTTTTTTTTACTTACTTTTTCGTGAATAAATGTTTTAGGAAAATAAAGTTATTTATTTATTTCTCAACAATTAATATCAGTTACTTGAATGTTAAATTTATAATAATCCTGGAAAACAAAAATCTCTAAAAATAATTTAATTTTTATTTTCATTGCGCGATGAATATTTTTTATTAAAATGTTAATCGCTACCATTTTCGGCGAAAAGGACGATTCGGTAAAATGGACGATTCGGTGAAATGGATTCGATAAACTGCACTTTCAAAGAAACGACCACGTCCCTTCGATGAAATATCCCTTCGGTGTATAGGTGCTGTCGGAATTCCCTAATTACGACATTTCGGCATTACGACATATGTCGTAAATAATGCCGTAACCGTAATGAAGCTAATCATGATCACGTGACTTGTACAAATGCTACACGATTGACAGGAATATTTCCTTTTTGGAAACTCATGTAACATTGTGCAACCCATTATTCGGGACAAATTTTCCTTTTTTTTGGAAATTAGTGTAACGACACGTGATAAACCGCGAAAAAAAAAAATTGACCTTCGGCATTACGAACTTGGCTGAAATTAAGTTTAGTCTCATTCATTTACGACATATATATTTACGACATTACGGCATTAAATTAAATTACGGCATTATGGCGCCACGGTATATACGATTTACGGCATTTAATTACGGCGTTACGGCACGTGCCGTAACCGTAAAAATAATCCCGACAGCATCTATACTTCGGTGAAATGAATTTCGGCGAAATGTACCGTAACCTTTTTTTATACATAGCATAGTTTAAACACTCAAACTAAACAGGCGGAAGGAACCATGTTTACTACAGAAGATAATTTTGCTATTTTGCTTAATAATTTATTTTGTTATATAAAAATTTACATGATTTGGGAAAATGTTATATCGGAATAATGTCTTTCGGGAAAAGGTTACGTTGACTTCTCATGTGAAAAAAGAGATCATTTTCTTATTTTATTCATTTTATTATTGATGATGATCGTTTTCTATTTATATACATTTATAATATAAAAAAGATAGGGCATAATTGGTGCAGGGTGTTTAAAAATGATATTAAAAAAAAATTTCTTATTGGTGATATGCCTACACAAATTAATTTTTTTTGTCCTTTTGCGTCTTTTTAATAGCCATCGTTATACTTATTACCTTGAAGATAACATATAGAACATTTTATTGATTGGTATTTTACATTACACCAAAATTCAAATTTTTTTTTAACTCATTTATGTATTCTCTGTAAGAACAGGAAAAACTTTAATAGTAATTCCATAATTAAGTGAAAACACAAATATTAACCAAAGAAGTCTAATAAATAATTTATGATATTTCCACTTATAAATAATTAAGGGGATGGCCTGATTTAAATTTTAGGATTTTACCACCCCCCTTAGGCAATGATCATATAATATACCGAATCTAACTAAAATGTTTAACAACCTAATTCTTAAGAATTTGTGAAACATGCCAAGAAATGTATCTAAATGATTTTACAAATGTTTTATTAAAAAGGAGAGAATTTTCTGTTTATGTCGATACTGTCGATACTACGAAATTAGAAAAAGACGAAATGCTGGTGATATCGATGTTGATAAATATAAATTTTAGAAAGTGATTATTCTAACCAATGATATTGCCGTATTAAAAAAAATGACACTGGAGTAAAAGATAAAGTGGAATTAATGGATTCCCAAGGAATACTTGAGATATTTGGTAAAGAAATTATTT